AAAACTTACACTGCAAGTGTTGAACTGTCCAATGTTGTTTATGGATTAAGTACACCAAACTACTTTATTACATTTCATTTTAGAAGGTTCGCTCGGTTCACCACCGTCCGCTGGGATATGCTAATTAAACTTGACTAGTACTATGCAATCAGAGTGTTCAGAACAGTATTAATTCCAAGAAGGGTTAACGAATTAAGCGGATTGTAGTTAAGAATTATCTACTTGATTATATGAATGAATTAATTTTTATATAAATAAACTTAGCAAATAACTTAAAATAAGTGTTTTGGATAATATAGTAGAAGAAAGTTCTTTTAAGGAAATGTATTTTTCGAAGCTGGATCAAATAATCCATTTCAACGATCCGATAAATAACCTGAAAAGAACTTAGCTTAAAAGTACTCAAATTCAGTGCGTTATTCTATGAATCTAATAAAGATATGGAAGAAACCATATCAGATACAAATCTCGATTGGTTCTATCACTAATCTTGCAGGAGAGTATATACTGTTCTCCATTTATCTATTATATTATTAAAGGAATAGAAAAAGGAGCCTCCACGTTCGCTCTCATGGCTTGGAAATTCTTACATTAATCAGAGAAAGAAAAAACAGAGTCTATATAAAAATACAATTTAGAAATAACTGAAATTCGGAATTAAAAAAATAAGGAATATTAGAAGAGGAGACTAGAGTCCATATAGAAATATAATTATGAAATAACTGAAATTCGGAATTAAAAAATAAGGAATATTAGAAGAGTAGACTAGAGTCCATATAAAAATACAATTTAGAAATAGCTGAAATTCAGAATTAAAAAATAAGAAATGTTAGAAGAGGAGACTAGAGTAGAGTATAGAGTTCATATAGAAATACAATTAGGAAATAATAGAAATTTGGAATTAAAAATAAGGAATATTAGAAGTAGAGTATAGATTCCATATAGAAATACAATTAAGAAAAAAAAGAAATTCGAAATTAAAAAATAAGGAATATTAGAAGTAGAGTCTAGAGTCCATATAGGAATTTAAAACTAACTAAAATTCAGAATAAACATAATAAAATGAAAAGTAGTGTTTAGAGTCCATATAAAAATACATTTTACAAATAACTAAAATTCGAAATTAAGAAAAACATGGGAAGAAGAGTTTAAAGACAATATAGGAATACAATTTAGAAGTAACTGAAATTTGAAATTAAAAATTAAAGAATATTGAAAGATGAGTTTACAGTCCACATAGAAATAAAATTAGAAATAATAAAAATTCAGAATTTAAAAAAAATATTAAAAGACGACTCTAGAGTCCATATAGAAATATATATAATTTACAAATAACTAAAATTTGATATTAAAAATAATTAATAACTAACACGTATATAAAATACAATATGAATATTACACATTAATAGTTTCGTAAAGTTATTGCAAAACTTAAAATTATGTTGTCATTGTAATATATTTTAATAATATAATAAGAAAACATATATGCTATTATATGAGAGAAAATATAATGATGCTAGCCGCGCAATCTGCGCGGGCCACCATGCTAGTTTATATTATAGTAGCTGCAACAAGTAAAGTTCTGATCTTTCTTCTGAACTCATGTAGTTAAAGGACAGAAATATCTTATCAAGAACCCAAACTTTGCTTCCTCCAGCCTTGTGGTGAAATTTCGGACGCCAAGAACTCCATCCTATCCGGGGTCAGCAAATGTTAGGCAGCAATGAACTGAAAACGATTTACCCTTGTCACCTCAATGGAATCCCATCATCAGCCTAGAAAACGCGAGAGCCCTAACAACTCCCGGAGAAAGATGAGACCCTTGATGCTGCAGATTGCGCACACACACATATATCCAGTAAACGGATCAGCAAATTAATGTGTGGTTTTAGCTAATTTCAGGACCATTTGCATCTGGTGTTTCAGGGGTAGGTAGGTGAGTAGGTAGGTAGGCGAGGTGTGTTCCTTCAGAGATTCAGGCTAAGTTCTTGACCCTGACGGATCATTTCGACAAGCAGATTTCGGTTAGGTTCCATCTGATCTCAGTGGTGCAGGTTCTGCAAAAATGCCAAAGAGGATGATGATGATACAGATCAGATGTATGCATGTTGTCACAATCTCAGAATGAGAATGTCAGACCCGAGAATCAAGAAGGAGTATTGTAGTAAACAACATTGGTGGTGATCACTGATCAGAGCATATTGTACAGCTCAGGTCTGGCCTGACCTGAAAGAAATTACAAATAGTATATACTATTACTTGTTCTGTTTTTTTTTTCTTCTGAAAGAAAAAAAAATGTTCCTTGCGTGGTCAGAATTAAGCCGATAATAAACATTGATCAAAGAACTGATTAGATTTTGTGTTTTGTATTCGGTATTTGCATGAATCTCGTTGCAGACATCTCATATGGTCAGAGCATATCTAACCACTATATTACGTAAAATAAATAGTATTTTCATTCTGCATGAGTGCACTATGATTTGTCTTGCCTTTTTCTTTTCCTTCGGAGCATTATGCTTTATCTTTTGATTTGTGTCTATGGGCATAATATTCAGATACCAAAGTTGTAAGATAGTTAAATACGTTTTCATTATCTAAGAAACAAAAGTACACTGTACACACTGTTAAGGGTATGTGCCCTTAACATATACTCCTTCCGTTCCATAATAGGTGACGTTTTTGACTTTTTATTTGCAACGTTTGACCATTCATTTTATTTGAAAAACTAGTGCAAATATAAAAAAAGATAAGTCATATGTAAAGTACTTTTGACAATAAAACAAATGACAAACAAAATAAATAATAATTCCAAAATTTTTTGAATAAGACGAATGATCAAACATTGATAAACAAAAACTTAAAAACTTAAAAAGACAAGTAATATGGGACGGAGGTAGTACTCCATAATATTATTATGAATGCCTAACTGGAACACAAGATAAGAAAAAAAATGTTCCTTGCGTTTTTAATTTAGAGCTCTGGTCTGACTTGAAAGAAACTACATTACTTGTTCATTTTTAATTTCCGAGAAAAAAATTGTTCCTTGCGTGGTCAGAATTAAACCAATCATAAACAGTATCAAAGAACCAATTAGACTTCGTGTTTTATTCCGTACTAGCATGAATCTCGTTGCAGACATCTCATATGGTCAGCAAGCATAGTTACCTGCTATCACAAAAACTAGTAGTACCATTCTCATTCAACATAAATACACTATGGCGTTTCTCTTTTGATTTGTGTCAATGTGCATAATATGCTGACACCGATATAAAATAACTTATCATTATGTTAAAAAAAATAAGTGCATGACATGATGAGTGCCTAACTAGAGCACAAGAATTTCGCAGAAATTTCATGGTTTTCAGTTTTCAAGTTTCAAAGGGAGGACAACGAACATTACTATAAAGCAGACAAGTTGAGTTTACTGCTTACTATACGTAATTATCATAGCTAATATAGGTCAGTAAAAAGGGACGTCCACCACAAATCCCCATCTCCTACACGCAAATATTCAGAGATCAAAGTTGTAAAATACATAAATACCTTATCACTGCTTGGTAAACATAAATGTACCATACGGTTCTATAATTCTTAATATTTTAGAAAATGACACGGTCTTAAAAAATTATCTTCGACTATGATTTTTCTATTATAACATATAAAAAATAAGTTGTAAGATTAATATATACATCGTGTTATAGTGTTTTCAATCTAAATAGTTTAAAATTTATTGATTCTCAGTCTTATCTAAAACGTCAAAAGTTATGAAACGGGGTGAGTACACTGTTTAAGGGTGTATACTAGCATACATGACATTTATGAATTGCCTAACTGTGGAACACGAGAATTCCTCAGAAATTATAGTTTTTTCACTTTTCAAGTTTCAAAAGGAGGAAGACGAATACTCCTGCAAAGCAGGCAAGTTGAGTTCACTGCTGACTGCTACCTCATTATCATAGCTAATCTAGGTCTGTAAAAAGGGACATCCACTCCAAATCTCCATCTCCAACACGCAAAACGAGCCGCCAAGAACCTGTCACCGACTGAATCACGTATTCTTGTCCATCAAATCGGTAAACCAGCACGAAGAATTTTCCCCCATGTGATGGATAAATAATGGATGCATTCAAAATGAATTCAGAATTCTTCAGAATTCGACACCAGAGAGGCAATGCATGGTCGGTATGGGATCCGCGTTGGTTGGTGAGGTGCTTCACTGCCTAAAAAATAAATTTATAAGGAAAACAAAATGGAGAGAAGTTTGATCATCGATGAGGACTTGGAGTGAGTTCAATGGCTGTTTGGTACGACTCCACTATATATGCACACATATCAGTACTGTTCCCTGACTTTGTTCTTCAGTTAATTGCGTATGGGAGAAACCTCTCAACAGCAACAACTACTGCACACCAACTTGTACTAGAATTGCGCCTTGTTAGCAATATGATAGTACACTGAATTTTTTTTTTGTCGAAATCACAATGATTTAATGATTTTAAGTTGTTTGGTAAGAGTTCATGACTAGTGATTGATTAGGTTTACGGCCATAGAGTCAACGCATCAGAATACATGGGCGATGACAAACAGCTACAGTTGTTCTATTCCAAATACTGCGTACAAATTTCATGCGAAATATCTTTCAATAAGTAATGATGTGGAGTATTTCTTAAAAAATAGTAGAATATACATTTTATACAAGGGCATATGTATATATAGTGTATACATGTTCTTTTTTTTTTGCATCTTCTTTAAAAAAAAAGAATTTATTTGATATGTACTTGCAACTACCCCAATGTTACATCTTGCTAATCTTGTCAATTTATTTGATATATAGCTGCAACTACTCTAATATTGTAATACTGCATTTACTAGTCTTATAGATTTATTTGATATATGCTTGCAACTGATATATAATACTATATTTTGCTTAGGGTTTAGGGCGACTATTGCAAGAAAATTGTCGAGGAAGACTTCAATATATGTATATTAAGACCAGAAAAGAACAAAAAAGGGGGGAGAAAACCCAAAAATATTTCAAATCAAAACAATGTCAGAAGACCATTTACACTAAAATTTTGATTCTTTTCTATAAAATACTAATGAATGTTCTGTGACTAATGCTAAGCAATAACAATAAAACAAACAAAAAATCCTCAAAAGAAAACTCTCCTCCCCGTTGTTCTTGCGCAAGGGAGGCCAACCATGCAAATGGGGGCATTCCATTCCACGACATGCCACGTCACGTCGCCGTGGACCCATCGGTGCACGACCGCGACAGCGCGGGCTCGCCGCCGGCGCCGGCGCCGCCTTCCTCGTACTCGTCGCACGCCGCCACGGCCCGCTCGAGCACGCCCACGACCTCGCTCATGGTGGGGCGGTCGCGGCCGGCCAGCCTGACGCAGTCGGCCGCCAGGTAGCCGACGTAGGCGACGGCCTCCATCTCCCACGGCGTCGGCAGCGGCAGCCTCGCGTCGAGCACCCGGTGCACCCGGTCGCCCTCGATGTGCGGCACGGCCATGTCCACCACGTTCTTGGGCGAGCCGCTGCCCTCGTACTTCTGGATTGCCTTGCACCCGGACAGCAGCTCCAGCAGCACGACGCCGAAGCTGTACACGTCGCTCTTGTCCGTCAGGTGCTGCAGCCTGTAGTACTCCGGGTCCATGTACCCCACCGTCCCCGCCGTCACGCACCGCTCCTCGTCGTCTCCGTCGCCGGCATTGCCTCCGTCGCCGGCGGCGGCATTGTCACCGTCCAGGGTGTTGAGGAGGGAGAGGCCGAAGTCGGAGACCTTGGCGGTCCAGCAGGAGTCGAGGAGGATGTTGGAGGACTTGATGTCGCGGTGGATGATGGGCGGGACGGCGTAGGTGTGCATGTACTCGATGCCGCGGGCGGCGCCGAGCGCGAGGCGGAGGCGGGACGGCCAGGAGGCGAGCGGCGGGGAGAGCGGCGCCGCCGCCGACGCCGCACGCCTGTGGAGGTGGTCGTGGAGGGTGCCGTTGGGCATGAACTCGTAGACGAGGATGCGCTCGCCGCCGTCGGCGCAGAAGCCGAGGAGGCGGACCAGGTTCTTGTGGTTGACGCGGGAGAGGAGCGCGAGCTCGGAGACGAATGCCGCCTCGTGGTCGACGCGCCGCGCCGCGGCGGCGGAGGAGGAGGAAGGGCCCCCCGTGTCGCGGCGCTCGGCGCGCTTGATGGCGACCTCGCGGCCGTCGGGGAGGGACGCGCGGTACACCGCGCCGAAGCTGCCGGAGCCGATGCGCTTCGCCGGCGAGAAGCAGTCGGTGGCGGCGCGGAGCGCCACCAGCGGGAACTGCTCGACCGTCGTGTTCGGGCCCTTGGAGAGCAGCGCGCTGAGCCGCCGCTCCACGCGCGGCGCCGTGCCCGTCGGCTCGGCGTGGATGCGCCCGGAGACCGGCGAGCTGCTGCCACGGTGCCGGCGCAGGTAGTAAACCGCCGCGAGCGCGGCGAGGAGCGCCACGAGCGCCGATCCAGCTCCGGCGCTGATCAACGCTATCGCCAGATTGCTCGGGCGACGCTTCCCCTTCGATTGAGAGCTCGACGACGACGACGAGTTGGACGTCGGGGACAGCGCCATCGGAGGAGGGGTGTAGCCGCAGGGGTAACAAACGGACACGTCTCCGCCGCCTCCCCCGCCGCTGCCGGCGCAGAGCTGCGCGGAGCCCGACCAGACGCCGCACGAGCACGACTTCGACGGCGCGCACGGACCCGGGAGCACCTTGTCGAACACCTTCCTCACCCCGCCCGCGACGCCTGCGCCCCAGCACTGCAGCGAGTAGTCGGACATGAGCACCCCGCACACCACCTTCCCCTTCGCCTCCAGCGCGACGAACTGCTGCCCCGCCAGCGCCGGCGGCGGCGACGCCTCCCCCTCGGGCCAGCACGAGACCGTCCAGTTCCCCCACAGCACGCACGTGACCGCGTCGCCCACCGCCACCGTCGACACCGCGCGGCTGATCCTCGGCGGCGACGCGGCCGCCACCGCCGCCGCCTCCCCCCAGCAACCCACCACCCCGCCATCATCCACGCCGCACGCGTGCCTCTCGCCGGCGGCGAGCAGCATGAACCTCCTCCCCGCGGGCTCCCTCCCCACCACCTCCCCTCCACCATAGCACCTCACCTCCCCGCTCCCCACCACCAACCCGCACACGAACCCGCCACCCACCGCCACCGCCGAGAACCCCACCCTCGCCGGCGCGCCCTCCCCCCACGGGCACCTCCAGCACTGCATCCTCTCCCCGACGAGCCCGCACACGGACTCCCCGCCGCCGGACACCGCCGAGAGCACCCGCCCCCTGTACACCCGCTTCGACCCATCCCCGGCCTCGTTCAGATCCCACCACCGCATCGACATTGGCGGCGACGACGTCGGCGCAGCCGAGCACAGGTACCCGTCCCCGGCGACCACCGCCGAGTACGGCGAGCACGTCCCGTCCCCGCCATACGCGTACACGTGCGGCGCCGCCGCCGACCTGTTCGACACGCTGGCGCACGAGATCCTGTACCCCGCCGCCGCGCCCCCCGCCGCCGGCACGAGCCCGCACGCGAGATGCTGCTTGGAGGGGTTGGAGCTGGAGTTGGAGACGGCGGCGATGGCGATGGTGGGGAGGGGGAAGGAGGAGGAGGCGAGGAGGAGGGGCGGCGAGAGGAGGAGGGCTAGGAGGAGGAGGAGGAGGTGAGGTGGAGACATTGGGTTGGAGGAGAGGAGGAGGAGGAGGAGTTTGTGGAGACGACCATTGTTGGCGCGAGTTGGGGAGGAGGAGGAAGAAGATGGAGAAGGGGAAATGGGGGAGGGAGGGAAAGGGTGGAGGTTTAAAGGTTGGTGTCTATGTTTTTCTTTCTCCTCTTCATCACTTTTTGTTAGATTTTTTTTTATTTTTTTTGTTGTTGTTTGAGAAAAAGTAATGGGAAAGATTTGGGTGTTTTTTGTTTTTCTTCTTTTTGGCTAACTTGGTTGTTGGGTAGTATGGAAATATGAATGCACTATTGGTATTTCTCTCTCTCTCTCTTGTTGAGTGATTTTTTTTTTGAGAACTTTGTTGAGTGATTTGATGTGTGTCAATAGCTTGTCAAGAGGAAATAGGTGGCTTGTTAATTAGTTATGGTGTTGCATTTTGGAGGACCACGTTGTGATTAGTAATGGGATTCTTTCTTTTTTTTCTTTTGTGCATATGAATTTTAAGCAAGCTGTAGTACATTTCATCAGAATCCTCTCTTTTGACATATAGCCACTATCCTTTCTGTTGTGATGATAGTACAATGGTGGTTGTGACTTAGTGACAAGTATCTTCCAATGGGGTCGCAATCTATGTTCGAAGAAAAATTCTAGGTCCGCCACCATAATCGGAGATCTTAATATGAACTTTTTGTTAAGTTCATTTTTTTTATGCACGATCTTCACAAGGTCATATAAGCAGATGATCATTTCTTCTGTTGTATGATTACAAAAGGGAAGGATGAAATTACTTACTGATATTTTCCTTCTAATGTGTGAAAGCAAAGGTAATTTCTCATATGGCATTTTGTGCAACTCCCACAATGTGGCCAGGCCTTTCAAAGTCCAGCGAAGTTGGAGAAAATTATTGAATCATCATTGTGCTCATCTCACTCAGCAGAGAAAATGGCCAAGAAACTGTACTTGTTTTCTTTTCTTTTTTTTCAGGAAGTGAGATCATGGGAGAATACTAGGAGCGGTTTCCGGATCTAGAAACACCTCCCCTAATACTTTCATTACTCATCAGAAAAATCTATTGTTTCCGGATCTAGAAACACCTCCCCTAACACTTTCATTACTCATCAGAAAAATCTATCTTATTGATAGTGGTTATTGTTTAAGTATCAGATTTGGACGCAATCATCAGAGATCATCACATATAAGGTTTCTTCTAGGTCTTCTTTGCCTTGCCACAAGCAAGAGTCCCAGCTAAGATCCAGATTCTCCATCCATGGCATGTGTGCTCTGCAGATTGCTGAGACAGCCAGCTAGTGACTGAAGAGAAAAAACATTTGATTACAAGTCAAGATCATTTCTTTACCCTGCAAGATGGCAATTAACAAGCCCCAACACTGCAATTAAATACAGTTTAAGTAGCTGTAATACTTTTCTCTCTGTGGGCTCCTGATTCCATTATGCCGTATAAAACAGACATGGAGTGACATCGGACAGCTATTTTTGGTGTTTTCTCTGACGAAACTGAAGACTGAGACCTAAAGGCTGAAGCACACACGCACATCTACGCGGTTTCAGGGCTTTGCTGACCAACGAACTGAAAAACGAAGATCAGTCAGTCGCTGGTATTTTCTTCGAGGTCCAGAATGGAGGAGATGAGAAACATTCGGTCTCTTCTCGAGATGTTTGTGAATGGGACGACATGGCCAAAGTCAGAAACGAATTTTCATCTCGCTGTAATCTTTGATCTACACGCGGTAGACGCGTAGAATTAACAGGGATGTAGAGAAGAACTCCGTGTTCTTGATTTCGATAGATGAACTTTCGTGCAATTATGAGATACAGACCGGCCTAATCCGTGTACATTCTTGTACTAGTTTTTGTGCATTTTTCGTGCAAGCCACAGGGGTTGAGGTGTCAATTGCATTCTTGTACTAGTTTTTTCTGTCTCTGAAAAAGTTTGCAGTTGAGGAAACGAAACCCTGCATCTTTCCATCTTTCTTCTAATCTGTGTTACCTTACAAACATTTCACTAACCTTGCAGTGTTCTTTTATGAATTTGTGTTGGTGATAAGATAATTAAGCTGGTGCAGGAGACTGTTCAGACAATATTGTCTTGATGTTAGGTTAGCTCAGCTGAATGCTTCTTGTTACGTGAGGACATAAAGATTTTGAGAACACAAGTGTGCAACAATCTGAACACCGAATTGCTGCGTGTTGCGCCTTTTCCAGAGACCTTTCCTGAATTACAATTTTCCTCGTGACAGTGTTGTGGCCTTTTCAATGCGAATGATGCAGATCAGTCTGCGCTTTTGGCCTGAGAATCAGTTTTTAGTTTTACCTGGTCATTTTTTTGGGGGGAAAGGTTCTTCAGAGCCTTTCTTTACAAAGATTCCTAGAGCAAAGACAAAGTGCTGTACTGTAACTATCTGGAAAAAATTGCTGTAATATATTTGTGGTGGGGATCGTGTTCAAACATGAGAACCAGGTCAACTAGTAGTTGCATCTGCATTTTTACTGAAGGCCACAGCCTTTTTTTTTTTCACCTGTACTTTTAGTTTTCCATAATATGTGTGATAAATTTCTCGTGTTTTCGCCAGCGATAAGCCTTTCTTGCGAAATCATAGGCTTTTTAGATTTTGATCAATATCAAATTCTGAATTCTATATTTCTATCCGTGTAAATGATGAAGAGAAGAGAAGAAAAAAAAAACATGTATTGGTTTCATAAAATGAACATCACCTTTTCTTCAAAAATTGGCAGTGTGCGAGCGACAAAGCACTATTCAGAGTGCAGACTTTTCTGTATCTTCAGCTTGAAGTTTAATTTGTTAATACATCCATGTCGTTTCGTTGACTATGTTTGTCTGAATCAAGAACTCATTAACATACTGCATGTTGCCGAATGCTCCAACATAGCTATGATTTCAGAAAGGTATCCGTCATTGAAATTTATGTAAATACTGAGGCCGATGCAGCACTGACCAGACCCAGATGTTTATTTTACTTTGAACATGAAAACAACTTTACATATTTTTCGAAGTCGTAAAGCGGCAGACTGTACAACTTCAAGTCTTCGATTGCGAACGTGACAAAAAAAAAAGCAGTGGGACATCAATCTTGCGATGTACTACCCTTTTTTTCGTACCAATAATCATTAACAGAATCACATTTAAAAAGCAACAAAGGGGAGATCAGAGAGTGCTTATCTCTGAGAGTTGGTGGGTTTCCTGAATGGAACAGCTGAACTGCAAACAAACCTTGCACCCTCATTTGCTAAGAGAAAAAAACAAACACCTGTAGAGCTAGAGCTAATGGGTCTTGAAAATTACAGTGACGTCTTAGAATTTACGAAAACAACATATGAGAACAACTGGCCCTAGTGATAATAAAGCAATCCAATTGACTAACAGAATCACTTTCTCCCCACTTAAAAAACAAAAGATTGTTTGTTTCCTCCCTCTATATTCGGTTTCATGCGGAAGCATTATTGGTGTAGTGGTAGAATGGAAAATGCATGGCACAACCTATCAGATTTTAAACGTTACTCCATCCGTCCGAAAATATAATAATTTCTCCACCTACATTTTTTTCTCAACCAATCATAATATTCCACCATTCATATTCTCCACCAACTCTCTATTTTCAACCGATCACAATATTTTTACCATTTAACTTTACCCACTTTGTTAATACTCACGTTAAGCCTAAAACTCTATTTTGGGGACGGATGTAGTAATATCATAATTATGACCACGTGTATTCTTAGTTGCTGCAGTGGCTGGAGGTTATATATACTTTCTAAAAAGAAAAAATTGTTTCACCTCTCCAGTGCAGCCTACTCAGGCTACTCTTTTGAAGTGAAGTCGCCTCTTTTCTCACCGTTTGTGCCGGTGCTCGGTAGCCGCATTTGAGGATTTTGTCACAACAACAACAAAAAATAAATAAAAAGTCCGGACGGATTGGCTGGCGCGCCATTGCTGCGATTACGAACGACCCGTTGGGCGGCGCGCGGGGTCCCTGCGACGTATGCCGCGAGTCAAAACGCTGATCGCTCGTCTGTCTGAGCGAGTAGTAACGACGCAGCCTCAGGCTCAGCACACACAACTTGTCTGACGACTGACGGGGGCGACTGGTGTTGTGGATGGTGTGAGACCGTGTGACCTCATCTCGAATCCGCCTGCACTGCAGGCTGCGTCCCTGCGTGCGGCAATTTTGCGCTAGTTATACCGCTGCTGGTGCTCAGGTGTGGTGGTGGTGGTGGTATCTGACGGAGGATGGTGTTACGTACGTAGACGGGACGGGAGGGCGGGGGGGGGGGGGG